TACAGGCACATACCTCCTACAGTCAATGTGAATGAAGATGGGAAGCTGGTGCAGACCAGTTAGTTTATTTACTTTAATGTCTCTATACTTCTTATTGTAATGGTAGTTTATTTTTGCTCTTGTTGATAGATCAAATCTTGAATATATTCAACCCAAGCTCTTAACCAGCAATACATATATATTTCAATACAGACACCTTTCAATTGCATAATCTCTTGTGCCCTACTAAACTGATATATTATCTTATGAAGTATTTCTTTTATCAGGGAAATATTTTTTCTTCAATACATTTAAAGTGTGCCCAAAGTGTGAGCAAGATGATACTTTGACAGTTAATCCTTCAGGTGGATCCATTATTGTTGTGAACCAAAAAGGTAATCTTTTTTAATATACTGGTGTATACAGACAGTTAGAAGAGAGAGAGGAGGGAGGCTGTCCTTAGTGTGGTTACTTAAAGTGACATCATTTACTTTTTTCAATAGGCCGTTTTGACTTCAATAATTGCACTATCAGCTGCAGTGGTTGTGGTTACAAAATAAATTCATGGTCTTTGGAGAAAACGATTGAAGCTGGATACTGGCCAGGAAGTCCAAAGGACTCCACATATTTATTTGACCAGAATTTATTTCGACAGTGGGATTTCCTTCAAAAGAGAATACCTGGTACTTCAGAAGTATCATTCTTGAAAGCCTTGGGAGATTTTTCACAGTCAAAAGGAAGGGTTCGTTTTAAATAATTTATTTATCTCACACTGCTATTTCAAGACAATAAAATGTACATACTATAAAACATCACTTTTTCATTCAGTGGCAAATATTTGATCCAGAAGACCAAGCCACTTTCTTGTCTCAGATTATAAGCATTGGCAAGGCAGCTAACAGGGGACTGATGCATAAAGGCCATTTGTTAAAATTCATTTATAAGATACAATATACATATGATGCACAATGCAGTTCAAAATATATGAACTTCTTATATTTCATTGTATCTAAGATACAATATATTAGGTGAAACTATTTTCATTTTAGTTTCTTTCAATTTGCATTTGTTCTTTTTCAGGTGCAAGATATTTTTACACTATTTCTTTCTTATTTATACATTACATTGTGTACATGCACAATATCATGAGTTTGTTATGCTTTTGGCATGTTCATAGGCACCAGCTATTACCCCCACCACTTTCAGTCGCTCTTTTAAAGAGTGGAAGTTTTGCATGTATGAAGTAGAGATTATAAAAGGTCTATCTTGGATGGTGTGTCCCACATGTGCATTAGACCAGCATTCTTGTCATGTTGATGGAAACATGAAGCTTTACCGTTATCAATCCTCTGGAGTGTAAGTGATAATTTATTTTAAATGGCACACTTGTGTTAAACCATTCTCTTCTCCAGAGCCCTTGATACATTGGACTGTGCCAAGGATTGAGACCTCTGGCTGGTCCTGATTTCTGAGCATGCACTGAGTACTTATTATTTATTATGCGACTCAGGCAGTCAGAGGGCCAATAACTAAAATCAACCAATCAAAATGCTCTATTGCCGGTCAATATTCTCTCAGTATTGGACCGGGCACTGTCCCGAATGGTCCCGAATGATACTGCGCTTGTGTCCCTTTGAACTTCAGTCGCATAATAAATCTCTTATTAACCAAGCTTGCTTGGGACCGTACTGGAAGAATATCGGCCCTCGGTCTTTTTTGTATGGACCTCGCTGCGCTTGGTCCGTACTGTCAAGACCTTGGGCGGATATTCTCCCAGTACGGCACTCGCACTTGGTTAATAAGATAAATGTATTTTCATCCAATCAGATTTGTCAGATTTGACAATGAGTCAATGAATCACAGACTTCCCGATGTTGGAGGCAGCCAGAGGTCTTGATCCTTGGCACAGCCCAAATGGATCAAGGGTTCTGGGGATGACAATGGTGGTAAACTGCAGGGTTCAAAGGCAAAGCTCTAATTTTAGCAATCTACTGCATAATAAGTTTTTGCTAATTATAGTTTTACTGGTTCTGGCAATGAAAAATTACCAAATAGCATTATTTCTGTCCTGCAGTGTACATGTTCTTTGTATTAATGATATTATTATTGTTGTTGTTATTAAGTAACATGTTATTACGTAAATTTATATACTTTCAATTTAAAAATGGGTACCGGTAAGTGTTAGTGTCAAGCCCTGGAAATCATCTGAACTTACAGTTTCCAGACTAAACAAGCAGAAGTCGTGTTGCTCTAACTCTACAGATTGCTCCTAAAAGATCTTTTGATTCTCACTCAGGGTATAATTTCTATTACTTACATGTATACTACTGAAAATATTTATTGTCATTTATAAACAGACAAAAAAGATCATGTTAGTATGGCGATACCTTCATAGCACCCAAGGCTGATGTCGATTCTCATATTAAAGTTGTGTATGCCAAGGTACCACGGTCAACAAAGGTAAGTGATGAGATATATTTTGTAACATTATTGATAAGCCACAAGATAAAGATATATCACAAATTAAAAAATACAGAAAATTTTGGCAGTTCAATATGCCATCAGGAATTTAGCCGAAAACTTTTGTTGAAAGCTTTTTTTGTGCATAATGATTGCGCTTTTCTCCAGCTACCATACAGGTGGTGGCCTACAGGTTAGTACAGTGGACTCTGGATTGATTGGTATGGGTTCTAGACCTGAGTGGTACATTGTATTGTGTTCTTGGGCAAGATACTTCAGCTCATACTGCCTCTCTCCATCCAGATATATAAATGGCTTTCGGCAAATTTAATGTTAGGGGTATCCCTGCTATGTATTAGCATCCCATCAAGGAGAAAGCATAAATTATAACTCCAGCTATTAGGCTTTTTCTGTGAACAACAGACACTGCTGTCTCGTAATCATTAATTACACACAAGTTTGATAGTTCTACCTTGTAAATTTTTTTTTGTTAGTTAAATGAAAGTTGTCAGTAGCCACTAATCTATTCACCCAAAAAGTTAGTCTTGAGACCTATAAGTGCCCCATACTGCGTAAATGTTGTTTGTGTTTAGAAATAAAATTTTAAAAAAAATTCCCTTAACTCTGACATAATATGTTAAGAGTAAACAGTTGAATTTATAACTAATCTATTCTCGGCTTTGCTTTGAATAGAGAATGTTTATCTGACACTCCTGACATTGACTCCTTGAAATTATCAATAAAAAAAATACTCTGCTGTGCATCACATTTTATAACTCTCTCCTGAGTGCTGGAAGTTGTTTAAGACAGCACATGTATGTCTTATTTCAGAGTGACAAAGACAGCATGTGTGGTGAGTCACATTGGAGAGCAGCACAGAATACAGCAAGAAAGAAGGCAAAGCTTGATGAGACTGGCCTTGATATTGCAGGATGTCGGCATGGACTTACTCAGTGGGCAGTAAACATGTATCAGGGTGAAATATATGGTTATGCCCATTTCATTCAGACCAAAAAAATGTATCCTGCTGGAGTAAAGTTCTTCTGGGAAGATGTTGTGTGCAAATACTGGAAGTGGGCTGGCAAAGTTGGAGGATTGAAGGAGCTCAATATGAAACCTGCCCTCTCTGTTATGCATGCCAAGGCACACAAATGGACTTGCCAAGTATGTCCTACTTTTCCATAAAAAAAAGAAAAAGGCATAAATCTTTTGTTTGATTAACAATGATTCATACATTGAATTATTTATAATACTCTGTGTACATGTGGGATATTCTAAAGAAGCTCCCTTTTTTAAAAAAAATATCATTGTCATGGTAACTAACTGCTTTCAATATAATTATTTTTGCACTAAAATTAATGCATGTTTTATTTATTTCGAACAATTTCTTTAAAGGTGTTATGGGGAGGTCGCTGGCAAGTTGGCAGTGCTTGTTCAACAGGAGAAGAAGTGGAGCAAATCAATTCTTACATGTCCCGTTGTGGCAATACAACAAAGTATATGCTTCCTGAAGGTACATCTACATTTTCCATTATGTCAATCTACACAGCATTTCTGCTTGCTGCATCTACTTAAAATGCAAAGTAAAATAATAAGCAGATGTTGTTATATTACTAAACACTCTCTTTTTATTCTGCAAGTTTTCCATTATTATGTTTGTTTGTGTTTTTTTTTTTTTTTTCATTTGCAATGGGATTATTTCAGAAACCAGCACCAACAGATTAGAAATAATTACAATGTGTTTCTCATAACTTTTGTAGGCCGTGATGAAGTCCTTACAGAACATGCCATTGCATGGAACAAGAGAAAGATTTGTGCTATGCCAGCAATGCTTGTCAAAAGATTTGCAAGGGTGATTGTAATTCTTCATTTTGTCTATGATGTATATGTATTAAACAAAATTGTTATTTCAATAACATGCCAAAACCCTTACAAAAGAAAATTTTACTTTAATTATGTCTGTTAATACTTGTCTTTGATTGACTCCTTTAAGGTGGTGGAAATGTGTCATGCTTCTAAGAAGGATTGTGATAACATTCTTACTGAATATAATTTGAACTCGGATAAAAATCTGAACATTGCTAAGTGGAAAGAGGAAGTCATTGAGCAAGCCAAAGGTAAAATCTGCCTTGGTTTTATAATACTGTATATTCTATGCAAGATGTCTCTCATTTTCCAACATTTCAGACTTGATACCACAATAGAGAGTACCCTGTGTGTTTTATTCTTCCACTGTTGGTAGTGCAAATCTTATTCAGACAAGCCACTACGTGGTTATATCCTAAATTACCCCGGAGTCCTGCTTGCAATACTTTGAACAATAAATACCAAAGATAACCTTATGTGCTCCAAAGTCCTATGTCCATGTTCTAGGAGGCAGAAACACTTGAACAATGCATGGTTAGATACAAGCCTTTCCTGGCTTGCCTGGATCTGGTAGTCAAGGCTATTATTATTAAAACTTGTTTTTTTTTTTAATGTCCCTCAGCTGAGGAGTTGGTCAGTACTGCTAGACAAAGTTCCTCAGAGAGAGAGACACTGAAGTGTCAGATAGAAATGCTCAGTTTCTCACTTGCTCGAACAACAACAGCCATTAGCAAACAAGCAGGTATGTTTTCCTGGTTACTGAAGTCTATGGACATTACATGAGAAAAAAAGTTAACTGGGATGTTGTTTAGTGATAATTTTTTTCTATATAATAACCAATCAATTTTAAAATTTTGTTCTTTTATTGTTATTGTCTTTAAAATACATTTTCAAATGCTTTATTCCATGCTTAGATTACATAGCCCTCTCCCCTGCATATTACCGACAGCCATTTCCTCTTGTATTATCACAGTATTGCATAATTTTCACTTCTCATTAGACTCATCAAAACAATGCACACGACTGCGAAAAAAGTTAACTTCTGAGAAAAAGACTCTTCAAAAACTTATCGATGAGTACAACAAAGTCAACGCAAGCACTGCGGAGGAGCCACTTACTTTTGAAGGAGTAATTTCAGGAGAGTTACTTGACAATGCAGATAATAGCAGTGGTAAATGAATTTGTTGTTTGTTAGTTAGACAACTGGGCACAGGTGTTCAAATTGCAATATGGCTGATCCAGTATAAGCATGAATTTGGTTTTGCAACTTTTCAGTTATCCTTTTTGGTTATATGTTCTGTCCTCAAGTTTTGATGTCAACTCATAAAAAAGGAATTACTCGTGGCAATGAAATAATACTCTCTCTGATAACTTCTAATCTTGGATTGGTTTAAATCGATTTTCATAAAACGACT